AACAGTCACATCTTAATATCATGGTCCCTTTCTCTGGAGGCATGTATTTGTTTGTTTGTTTATTATTTATTTATTCATTTACGAGGTTGGGTCTCACATATCCCCAGCTGTTCTGGAACTAGCTCTTGTAAACCAGGCTGGCCTTGAACTCACAGAGATCCTCCTGCCTCTGCCTCCCAAGTGCTAGGACTAAAGGCATGTGCCACCACCACCTGGCTCAAAGAATGTCCTTGACAACACTCTTTGCAATAAAAATAATAAACAGGAAGGAAGACTTTCCAGGGTCACAGGGCTGCCCCTTGGCAATCATAATTGCATGGTTTAAGTTTCTGCCAATTCCTGCAGCAAAGGACCTTGCTCTATATCCTCACTCACAACCTTCCTGCAAACGCCCCACAAACAACATCATTTAAAGTTGCCTTCTGTGATTTGGGACCCTGAGGGGACCACATGAGGTCAGGGGTTCTTGGTATGCACTGATGTCACTGTCACTCTTCAGGTTGTGCATTAGAGCCATAACTGCTGGCCATTCTCACTGTTCCCCAAGAACGAGTAGAGCCCCACTAGGAAAATGCTAAGCCAGATAGAAATGCTGTGGTGCCAGGAGGGGTACAATGAGGTGCACCCAGGCTCCCTTTGGCAAGGGGAAACTTCCAGTTTTCAGGAAGCCATGTTTAGTGACAGCCTTGTCTCTCTTTGATATAGTCTATCCCAAGTCCACAAGTTCACAGTCGTATTAGTAAAGTTTCTGGACCTAGGGGACAGGGTGTGGTTGAGTCCTTGGAAAGGTTTCTCACCCTCCCCAACCCCCCTACACACATATGCCCTGCCTCCACCCCAGTCTAGGAATGCTCTTATCTCTATCACCTCCCCTCTCTAGGCATTGAACATGCCTCTGTGGCCCTCCATCCCTGCAAAGCCTCTTCAGACCCCAAGTGGCTCCCTCCTTGTCCATCTCTGCCTGGGCTATGTCATAGTGTGGTCTAGCCACCGGCCTCAATTTCAGCATTTTGTCTGAGGCAGGGGTTGTAAGGTCTCAAGCACATAGTCTTCACCTACAGCAACCCACAATAATCTCTATGAAACAATGTATCAATCTGGGGGAACCGGGAGAGCACTGGAGAGATGGCTCAGTGGTTAAGAGAGATGGACCTCTCAGTGAAGAGATGGCTCCGTGGCTGTTCTTCCAGAGGACCTGGGTTCAGTTCCCAGCACCCACATAGCAACTCACAACTGTCTGTAACTCCAGGTCCAGGGGAGCCAACACCCTAACACAGACACCAATGCACAGAAAATAAAAATAAATCATTAAAAATAAAAATCTGGGAGTTTCATTCTAAAGTCTAGATTTACGATTTCCCTTTAAAAGGGAAAAAGAAAACAATCGGGGGACCCAGTGGGACCAGAAGAGCCCCAACACCCCTTTTTTTAAACCCTTGTCTGGAGCAGAGTGGCAGTATTCAGGTGAGACCTGCCCTTTCACTTTGCTAAAGCCCTAACCATTCCTGAATGTCACTGGGAAATTCAGACACTGGGCCATTTCCCCCAGCTCCACCACCAACTAGTTGTGTGATCTGGGCTAGTTATTAAACATCCTGGTGTCTCCATGTTCTCAATTGGGAAACAATGACGACAGTATTCTCTCTGCCTGTATGAGTTAGATGGTTCACGATGCAAGCCTGGGGACCTGTGTTTGATTTCCAGAACCCACACAAAGAAGTTGGGTGCAGCTGCGCTACCCCTGTACTCCCAGTACCCAGAAGGACGCTGGAGGATCCCTGGGGATTGCTAGCCAGCCAACCTAGCTCAATCAGCAAGCTCCACATTTGGTGAAACCTAGTCTCAAAGAAATCAGGTGGATGGGGCTGGAGAAATGGTTCAGTGGTTAAGAGTGCTGATTGCTCTTCTGGAGGACCTGGGTTCGATCCTCAGCACCCACGTGGCAGCTCACAACTGCCTGTAACTACAGTTTCAGGGGACCTGGCACCCTCACACAGACATTCATTCAGACAAAACACCAGAGCATATTAAATAAAAATAAATTAGGTAGAGAGCCATTGAGGAAGGCAGTTGCTATCAACCTCTGGCCTACACACACATATACACAGAGACAAAGAGACAGACAGACGGGCTGGAGAGATGGCTCAGAGGTTAAGAGCACTGGCTGCTCTTCCAGAGGTCCTGAGTTCAATTCCCAGCAACCACATGGTGGCTCACAACCATCTGTAATGAGATCTGGTGCCCTCTTCTGGCCTGCAGGCATACATGAAGTGCTGTATACATAATAAATAAAATCTTTAAAAAAAAAAAAGAGACAGACAAAGAAAGAGACAGAGAGACAGGGAGTTTGTGTGTGTTGGATCCTGATCTGTGTGACCTTGAACTAGTCTCCACTTCTCCATGACAGAAGTGGGGAGGACACTGTGCTGGAGGATGCCATGTAGGCCTGGTGAGTCTTCTGGTGTTCTCAGAGAAAGCCAGACCCAAGGAATGTGCCAACACCAGTCAGGGCAGGGAGGTGGCCCGCAGATACTGCTCCTCTCCGAGTATCACAGGCCTAAGTCTTTTTCCCAGTTCACCCTAATCAAGAATCCTAGCAGTGTACTTCCGGCTACCCAGACCCCATCCATCCCTGCATGTAGCCCCTGACTCCCAGCTGGGAGGCTTTTTCCTAACAAGCTTTTCTGGTCAGATGTCAGCTGAAGACAAGGCCTCTCTGACAAGGCAGTTGGATTTTTTTTTCCTACCTCTTTTACAAGCTCCCAACAGCAATCTTGCCGAACGCTCATGGTTTTCCTATTTGAATGCAAAAGAGAGTGGAGGAAACCCCTAATCCCACAGCACACACACAGAAGCTTCTTCATTCAAGACACACACACACATACACACACACACACACACACACACACACACACACACACACACACACACACACACACACCGTATCTGTTTCCTGACTTAGTGTCCTGGGCAAGCCCTTCAGTCCAGCCAGTCCCCCATAGAAAGGGACAGGGAGCATCCTGACACTTGCCCGGCCCATAGCTGAGAGCTGTGGTAGATGGAAGGATTCTGCCACACTGAGAATTCTGTAAAGCCAGCATGGTGGCATGCACCTGCCTTCCCCACCACTCAGGAGGTAGAGGCAGGAGAAGCAAAAGTTCAAGGCCAGCCTCAACTATATAGGGAGTTGCAAACCACCTGGGTTACAGGAGTTCCTGTCTGAAAAACAATAAAAATAAAATATTCCTGGTAAGATGGCTCAGCAGGTGAAAGTTCCTGTGACAAAAGCCTGATGACCCAAGTTCAACTCCCAGAGCTCATATAAAGATGAAAGGAGAAAAGAACTCCACAAACTTATTCTCTGGCCTCCAAACGCACACTGTGACATGTGTGCCCCCCATATAAATAAAACAAAGCTTTTAAAAATTAAATAAAAACAAAAATCTCCCCCTTCCTGATTATAGAAGACAGTGTGTCCTCTGCTTTCAAAGCCAGAGAGGGAATGTATAGCTTCACTGGATTAAGTCACCCTGCCCAGACACTGGCCACCTTCTAAGGTCCCTTTAGTGCTTGATTTACATGCACAAAATCCTTTCCCCCATCGTGGGATGACTTCCAGGGGGTCAATGGGCAGATGACATGAACACGGGGGATGATCTGGGCAAAGGCATGAGTCTGAGCTGCAGCGGATCTGAGTCCAACAGCATGAGAACACCTCACCCTACAGAGAATGGCCCATGATTTAAAACTCACTAATTGTTTCTAATGTTCAAGGCTAAACTAGAGTTAGGATGTCTCTGGAATTTCTTATGCTTGGATCATGGTTGACTCTGAGTAACAGAATCCGATGGAGCAACATCATAGATGACACAGCCACAGTCTGCCATAGTCTGCTAGTGTGCCCTCCCTGGAGCCGGATTTGCTTTGCCTTGGGTTAAAACGGAAAGGCCGGTGTGGGGGCCACAGCAGGAGAAGGGCCTCGGCTGAAGCAGTCCTGATCCTGGCATCTGACCTCTGTCCCTGGGAAGGAGCATCTCAATCGCACCTGCAGGCAGAGAGGAACCCTCTTCTTGGCTGTGGCAAGCAGCGTTCCCCCACTATCTTTTCTTTCTTCTGGGCCAGCCCTGGCAGCCTTTCACAACTGCCAAAGGACACACCATTAGCACAGACTAGAGTCTACGGGCAGATGGGACCGGACAGCAGTGCATTTCTGTCTCCTCTGCACCAACTCCAAAACAATGTCCATCCACCACTCCTTGCAGGGTTTCAAAGTGTGGCCTGTAATCCTAGCTAGCCCTAAAGAGACCAAAACAGTAGCTTGAGAGTTTGGGGCCAGCCTGGGCTATAACATAAAAGAAAGAAAAAAGATTTTCTTGCCAAGTGGAGGGGTGCTTGCCTTCAATTCCAACACTGGAGAGGCAATATGATAAATCACTGAGCTTAAGACCAGCCTCATCTACATAGTAGATTCCAGGTTAGTCAATGCCACATTGTGAAATCCGGTCCCAAAACCAAAGGGTGAAGGAGGAGTGTTTTGCCTTTGAGAATCCTTGGCCATCTTTTGGAGAAGCAGCAAGTATGTTTGTGGACATGAAAATGAAGTGCAGCCTCGGGTGTAGCCTCACCCTTGCTGGATGAGGGTGAGTACCATGTAAACAGCTCTGCAAACGTACCAACGAACTCACAGAAAAGCAGGACTTACAGACCCAGTGGGCTTGTGTTTCAGAATCAAATGTCTGTCAAAGACTTTTGAAGCCAAAGTTTCTTTGAACAACCTCAAGAGGCTGTATAGCACACGCCGCTGAGTGCCTATAAACAGCCTTGGGTTTTTCCTGCTATCCAGTTCAATATCACCGCGGTGCCTAAAAGGTTTGTACTATAGATAATAAATATATCCATATCATCACTTCAGTGAGAGGCAGAGCTAGGGCAGCTGGGCTTTTCCTCTGGGGTCTTCCCAGCCATTTGCTGCTGACATACACTATTAAAAATAAACCTACCCGGAGGAACTAGTCATTTTACGTGGTATGAGGACTAATGTTATCTTTCAGTAGCTGCAGAGATTTGCCCACTGCAGGGGCCCGGGATGATGATGGAAACATGATCGTGTGAGAATATCTTTGCACAGACAGGACAGCTTCTATCATCCGCTGCATGTCGCGCGCATGCTTGTTTAAGACTCAACACCACTGAGCAAACACTGACGTCTTCAGCAGAAGAAAGCCATCAGTGCCTCGGAGGACGAGGAGCGCCGTTCTCTTCTGGGGCTTGAGAAAGGCAGCACGTGAAACAGGAGGCCTAGCTCTGTGGTGTGAAAGGAGGGTGGAGGAAGACTCTCTCCATCTTCCGGCCAGCATGTGCCAGGCTGGGACACACCAACTACAGATCACTCTCAGGAGGTCCAGTTCAGCCAGTTTTAGGAAGCTGAAATTCCAAGAGAGTCACAGCTAAGATATGATAAAACCAGGCTAGTTGCTCAGGAGGCTGAGGGGCAGAAGGATCACAAGTTCGAGACTAGCCTGGACTACAGGATGAGCTCAAAGCCAGCATAACCTACTGACCATGTTTTAAAATTTAAAAAGAAAGAAAGAGAGAAAGAAAGGAAGGAGGGAAGGAAGGAAGGAAGGAAAATTTTAAGGGCTGGGACTAGAGCCCAGTGGTAGAAACATTTCCCTAGAGTGTGAGAAGCCCTGGGTTAAAACTGTCAGTACTACAAACAAGTAAATAAGAAAGAAAGAGTGAAGGCAAAACCAGAGTGTGACCCCAAAGTCAAACAGCGTCATCGGTCTGTCAATGCCATGGAGACCAACTGAAAGCCAGGGTCCTGAGACACAGGTAGATGAGCCCATGTCACCCTCACTCACTGTTTGTGGGGCAAGTCTCAGTCCTCACTGCACCAGAGGACAGGGAAGTCTCTCCTGGTAGCATTTACCTCCCAGACATCCACTGGCTCGGGTGGCTCATGTCTCCATCCACTAACACATCTCCCGAGCTTCTGCAGACTCGCAAAAGAGAGAAAAGGGGAAAAGGGGAAAGGGCTGAGCTGTGCATTTGGGACACCCTGCGATCAGGAAGCAACGTTGGGAGAATTGAGATTTGGGGGCCAGCCTAAGGGACATAAAAAACATGTCTCAAAAAATATAAAAATAAAATAAAAAGGAGGGGCAGGATTGTCTCTGGCCCCAAGTTGAATGTGCACATGCAGGCCCTCAAGGCTTGTTGAGAGCTGAATGCCTACACCAGGGAGCGTAAAAGTCATACTGTGAGGCATACACACAGGGTTAGGTAGCCCTTTGTGTTATATTATTTTAAAGAGCAGGTGTAGAAAGAGAGAGAATACAGAGAGAGAGAGAGACTTGGTCTGACATTAGGCGGGACCATATTTATTACACTGAGGGGCATCTTTGTCACTTACTCGTTCAGACTGCCAAAATGCCTACAGGGGAAGATGGGTGGAGGCCCCTTACAGGGGCAGGAATGACTTCCAAGTCTGCAAGGGAAGCTGGGAAGTATAGTTCTTCAGCAGGAAACTATCATTCCTAACTCTGAAAGGATATTCAAACGCAGGGCAGGGGTGTTACATCCGCTTTCCACTGAGGAGGGTCTATGCCTAGGTCCATCGAAGAGGGGGGTCCTCTGGCCATGTAGCAGGAGGAGAGTCTTAAACTTGATCCGCTGTGATGGTTCAAGTGATGGCTGTCCTGTACTCCTGAAGAGAATTGGAAAATAATTAGTAGAGCTCTGAAAGCAGGCAATTTGGTGATAGAGTGAAACAGATCTTCTAGGACAGTTGAGGGGTTGGAAAGAACAAAGGTGGGCGGAGGGGGCATAGGTAGAGTTGATTCAGGGAGACAGTGACTGGCCCCATTGCCAGGACCATAGCACGGGATGAGCCAGCAGACGAGCCAGGGCATCAAAGGAGGGGAACAGGAGGAACTAGAGAACTGATCTAAAGAATTGCATCTGGCCTGGAAAGAAGGTTCCTTTTAGTCAGAGTTTCTCCGCAGCATCTAAAAGAGCTGTTGCAGGTCTATCAGGAGCAAATGGAGTATTGCAGGGTGAGCGTTACTGGGAGAGCTTGTGTGGAACATTCTGTTTGGGAATAGGGTGAAGTTCAGAAAGTGAAACGTTTAAAAGAGAGGGGACAGCATAGGAGTGAGGACAATGAAGAGGAAAGGGTGATTGATCCAGGGGAGGAACCAGAGCAGGAGGGAACCAGAAGGAAGCTTGTCTGGTCCCTGTGTCTTTAGGCCCCATCTCAAACCAGTTAGGATTTGTTGGTGTGGAAACAGGATTGTTCGAGGAGCACACAGATCCCATCCTTAGCAGGAGTCAGATCTGCTCCTATAACCTCTGAATGCTGCAGCAGTCATGGTGTCCAGCTGGTACGGAAGGATGGTGCGCTGAGCTGAGCCGGTGACACAGAGAGGGTAACTGAGGCAAAGGAGGCTCAGTTCAGCCGTTTCAGCTCTGAGTCCCTAAAAAACAATACCCAGAGTGGCAAGAAGAGAGACAAATTGGACGGTCCAGAGCCCAGTAGCCCTCTTGTAGAAGTCATCCAAACTGCTCTTAGGGGCTTGGAAACATCAGTCTTTCAGTAACTGCTTCAAGGCTGACAGAAGGGCAATGAGGGAACAGCAGCTACAGTGTCTCAGAAGAGGGCCCATCCAAGAGGCTATAAGAGAACTTAACAGTCGACAAAGACCCAGAACATAAGCCAGGAGACAGTAACTGTACAATTCTGAGGGGGACATTAAGAGACAGAGTTGAGTGAGGAAAACTTTTACATCATTGTTAACTTGAATTAAACACAAATGTGCAAGTGGCTGGACCATGTGCCAGAGTTCTGCAGAACGATACGGTGACGGAATGGCTGTATGAACATCAGTCTCCTGCATGAGGAACAAGCACCTGGGAGCTTTGTAAAAGAAGTCAGCTAAAGTCAGGATCCAAGCTAGGTGATGGTGGCACACACCTTTAATCCCAGCACTTTGGACAGAGGCAGGTGGATCTCTGTGAGTTTGAGACCAGCCTAGTCTACAAGAGCTAGTTCCAGGACAGCCTCCAAAGCCACAGAGAAACCCTGTCTTGAAAAAAAGAAAAGTCAGGGTCCAATGGATGAATCTGAACAGAAAGTGTGTGAGTGGTACCCTTGCTTGCAAGTCTGATAAACTGCATATATCCATTTCAAATAGTAACAACGCCAGCTACTACTTAATGCAAATCTCAAATTAAACAAAATTTTTGGCTAGAAAAAAATTGACAAGTTTAAATTTTAAAAATTAGAACTGTTACCTTAAAAGACCACATCCAGTATTTGAAAACATGATAATACATATTTTAATATAAATTGCTATAGTTATATTCAAAGATTATATAGTGAATACATTTTATACTGTCAGGCTGTGTAAAGAGACAACTTAATTCTAAGTTGTATTCCCCAGAAAGAAATGATTTCCAATTTAAAAACTATATTCCCAGAGACAGTGTCTGACTTGTCAAGAGTAGATGATTCATTTTACAAAGTTTTGTAAAATTAACCCTATTAACAGAAACCTAAAAAAAAATCTCTATATTCTCATTCCATACACTGAACCAAGAGGTGAAAGCAGTCAGTCACATCAAATCTGTAACAAACAGTTTACATGTAACATGGATGAATTAAAGAAGAAGGCTCAGAAAACCAACCCTCGGCTCCTTCTGCAGAAGGACAGATCTCTAGGTCACCACTCTAGTGACAGTAGTAAGCATGTTTTTTCACATCAGTCTATTTAAAAATAGATTGGTTGTTTAGAGGTATAATTGAGCAAGATTAAATTGGATGAGCTTTTGGCTTTTGAACTGTTTAAGAAAATATTCACAAGCCTCACTGAATGCCTGAAGAACAGTGATGTCTCTTCTTTACTCAGGCATTTTACTTCATGGCCAAAGCCCTGTGCTCCTTGTAGGCTTCCAGGTGAGAACACCGGCATAGCCCCAGAACTCTCTGACTGGATTATGTTTTCAAAGTACCACAGGTTAGCCCAGGTTGGAGAGAAACTCCTTCCTCTGAGTCATCTAGTCCTGAAGAACCTGAGGCCTTGGGATATCAATTAAGAGAGCCATTTATCGACTCCACAGACACAAAACCAACTGCCAAAGACATCCTTGGCTATTCTGAACAACTTCCCAAAGCTGTGAGATTGATGGCAGTGTCTGGCATTGTCCTATAATCAGGGACCATGAGAGGAGGAACTGAATACCAGGGTAAAGGACATGGCCCCTTGAAGTAGCCTGCAGGTCCCACGCCAGTCGGTGGTAGGCTTACGGGCAAGGTTTGTTCCCTGTCCACAGCAGCCTCACGCGTCAGTTCAGGAGACACTGAGGGCAGAGTAATTGACATTTGCCTTTCTGCTGTTTGAGATGTTTAGGGTGTGGGTGTGGACTCTGAGATCTTCTGCTGGGCAAGAGAGAGACTCCATTCTCCCATCATGTGAGACTCCAGGAGTAATTCTTTAGAGAAGGCGTGGGGTTTTTGTTTTGCTGTTTGTTTATTTTATTCTTATTTCCATGCATCCTTGTCCTGAGAGGAGGTCAGCACGCAACTTACTCTGGTGGTGCTCCATCCAAGGGAACATGTGCTCCATCTAAGGAAACTACTTGAGTCGGGTGCATCCCTGTCATTCAAGTGTACTGTAAATTTAACCCATTTTGCTCAAGCATTCACTTTTTTCCATGACCAATTTTCAAGACATACTTGATTTTGCATATTATTTTACATCAAACAAGCTGTTTCCTTTAAACTTGCTTTACTTTACTTGCTTTAGTCTTAATTTGACAACATATACAGAATACTATATGGCAGAAGGTAACAGGAGACTAGAGGGTGGGAGATAAAAACAGATCTCTCCTTCCAACCTGATCTCTGTAAATTACATCTGTACTTAGCATGACTGACCAATTAGCTTGTATACATTAATTATCTTTAACAATGTATAATTAGTAAGTAACTCTTTTATAAGATTGGGATTTTTATAATTTTATTACAATTTTAAGGTTTATTTTAAACCTTAAAAATGTAAATCTTGAATTAAAGATCAATCCCTTTAAAATAAATTTAAAACCATAAGTAAGGTCCACAGAGAGATTGGTCTTTTTTAGTCTAGTTTTAAAAAATGCCAGTTTTTTTTCTATGACTCAGATTCAAAACAAACCTTATCTTGTAAGCTGGTGTTGCCTCCTTAGTCTAATAAAACAGAGATACATAAGTAGAGCTCAGTGGGTGTAGTCACTTTATGGGTGCTGCTCTGATTGGTTTATATCACATGGTCACCTTAACCAAGATGGCGGGAAGTCACACGGCATGCCCTTTTTTTAACCTTAATAAAGATGGTGGCTAAGTCACATGGCTTCCAAGGTGGCATCAAGGCACACGGCATTCCAAGGTAAGCCTAGGTCATTAGCCAAGATGGCAGGAAGTGACATGATACCCAGCAGGCACATACCCTCTTCTTAAACAAGAACTGAATCCAAGTTACATACATGGCCTGTTATGGTAAAAGATGATCTATACATCCTTGTTAAATCATACTCAATGAACTTAGAAATGGTAAAATACAAAAAGTTAAAGTTTCAACAAAAGCTTTAAAGATAGTAAACAAAACCAAGAAGAAAGAGGGAGAATTCAGGACTTTAAACACTCTGCCGTAACCTCTACAGGAAAAGTTTACTTCTTAGGTGTTCTCAAGAGCAAAGTGTCTTTTCCTGGGATGTTTTGTTTTTCTCTCCTCCTTGTCACAGAGTCAGGTGGTCAGCCTGAGCCTGGACAGAGACTTTGGAGGAAACTTACACAAACATTCTTGAGTCTGGGGCAGATAGTCCAAATTCCAACTCCAGAGCCAGCCTTTTCAGCAGAATGGGACAGCATGCAACAATTTGTCCATATTATCCATACTCAAAAGACATCTGAATCTCTGTAAGACTCAACCTGGTGATCTGCATATCCATAACCAGTTTGTGTATGTCTGCAGATGGGAGCAGACAACCTGGAATGTTTTTGTTGTTGTTGTTTCGGTTTTGTTTGGTTTGGTTTTTCAAGACTGGGTTTCTCTGTAGCTTTGGAGCCTGCCCTGGAACTCGCTCTGTAGACCAAGCTGACCTCAAACCCACAGAGATCGGCCCACCTGTGCCTCCCGTGTGCTAGGATTTAAAGTGTGCACCACCACCGTCCAGCAGAATGCTCAGCAGCTGAAGATACAAGCAGGGACTTACCAGGCTTGGAGAGGCAGAAACACAAGTAGGCCATAAGCACAAGGCCGAGAGTTCTGTGCTATCTCAGATAGGAAAGATGCAAGTTTGGAGGCCCAGCAGAAATGGCTATGGGCATCCTGACTCTAGGTGTAGCTATAAACCCTGAGAAAGATCAAAGTGAACTGTGGATTTTGTGGGGGATGAGGCCTCCCATTAGGTTACCATTCCATCTCACAGAGTTACCTAAATCAGTTTAGATATCAGAAGTTGGCAGTTCACAATTTGAGCCAGTAGTTGCCGTTTGTCCAATGTGTATTGAGGACAGATTTGGACCCAGAGCTGATCAAATGACCCGGAGATGAGGTCTCCCAAAGGGAGCTTTTTCGATCAGCATGCAGCCAGGCCTAGGGTTCTTTGGATGGAGAATTTGGAAGCCATGGCTGGGTCCAGGGCCAAGGTAAACAGAGGTCTACACTTAGCCCTTTAGAGCATCTTCTGAGTTCTGGGAAGACCAAGCACATCTGGGACATTAAGCGGGAGTCCCCAGCTACAGTTCCAGAGTTAAGGAGCTGCAGGCCCAGCGGACAGCTGTCAGGGCTTTCAGCTAAACAGCAGTCTGGCAACCAGTGGAAAGTCTCCGGTGCCTTGGACCAACCTGGTCTTAAGGAAACTCCAGTGAGCCCTGAAGCCTAACTAGGCACCTTTGAGTTAGGTCCAACAGATTTCCTTGTCCCGGTGTTCTTCTGTGTTCTGGCTGATGCAGTGTGGCTGCACACCAAGGTCAGGTTGTGTCGGGGTGGTAGGATGAGCAGGAAAGACAGAGGCAGAGAGTGAAAAGGCTGCCTGCCCTAAAGATGGCCTTTCTGGGCACTTTTGGGCCCAGAGCTTGTATGACAGTCAGGGAGGTTGGTCCATGGGTGGGCTCGAGCCACTAATAGGCTTAGATTTTCCATCCCATGCCTTTTAATACCATATATTACATTATTTTTCAAACCAGCCATAGGTCTGGAGAAATGACTCAGTGGTTAAGAACATCAACTGCTCTTCCAGAGGATCCAGGTCTAATTCCCAGCACACACATGGCAACTCACAGCTGTCTGTAATCCAGCATATAAAAAAAATCATTAAAAAAAACTGTTTAAAAAAAAAGAGCTGGAGAGAGAGAGAGAAGGTAGAAAGAAATGCTTGGTCTGACCATAGGTAGAACCATGTTTATTCACATTGAAAACATCTTTGTCACTCACATGTGCAGATGACCAAAATGTCTATAGGAGAAGATCTGGCCTCTTACAGGGGCGGAAATAACTCCTATAGTCCACAAAGGAAGCTGGGGAGTGTAGTCCTTCAGTAGGAAACTGTCACTTTGTATAGAGAAGATGAGCAAGAAATAGAGCTCAAGACTGAGGGTTTCTCCAGTATCATCAGACTCAGATCCCTAGGGGTGTAGAGCCCAAGCCTGGCCTGCATGGCTACACCTGCTCAATGATGCACTGTTGTTCACTGGTCTGCATCCCCAAGGTATCTGTCCCTATCTACTTAGATTGGCTGCTATTTATAGTAGGCCAGGAAAGTAGGCACCATTCATCCACTCGACCAATGAAGAAGCTGAGGTTCAGAGCAGGGAAGCATCATCTCGGGGCAGACAGATGGCGTTGTACAGTGGAATGAGGGACCCGGGCTACTCCTTGATTCTCTGCTCCTTACCCTTCCACAAACTGAGCCAAAGCAATGTTATCTGAGCTTCCACCATGCCAGGCTCCTTGAGTGAGGGAATAGGATTGAGCCCAGTTAAGGCCGATGGTCCCAAGGCACAGAACGGTGAGCCCCTTCCCCAAGGGCACACAGCAGGAAGAGGTAGCAACAGAGATTAACCCGCCCCTTCCAACAAGTTCCCTCACCTCCTCCCATGGTGATGCTGGACCTGTAGATTGTGCCAGGTCTCCTCACTCTAGGAAGAGGGCGCCTGCCAAAGACAAAACATTCAAATGGCTCTCCTCTCTTGGCACTTCTAGGATGCAGTTCCTGAAACTTCATCAAACCTGGAGCGACTGAAATTCTATCTTCAGAAAATTAGGCAGACCCAAGTTGATATTAAAAATAAAATGTGGGGCGAGGCAGTTAAGAACACTGGCTGGTCTTTTAGAGCATGGGGGTTCAATTCCCGGTACCCACATGGTAGTCTCACAACCATCTGTAACTCCAGTCCCAGGGGACCTGATGATCTCTTCTGTCTTCAGAGGCCAGGGGGCATGCACATGGTATGCAGAACAGACACACATTCAGGCAAGCACTCATACACGTAAAATGAAATCTCAAAAAAAATGTTTTTAAATGTAATTTGTATGAGGTACCCTGCAGAGGGGGATGAGGCATATGCAGAGAGGTCTCTAGAACTGGTGCTGGAGCAGGCCTGGGGTGATGGCGTGCGCCCCTGGCTAAGCTGCACAGCTGGTCTGGTGGGATTCGGCAGCATGAGCCTGTCGCCTTTCTAGCCCATTTTTTTACCTGATGCATTAGCATATCCTTATGATATCTGTTATCCTAATTACATCTATTTTCCAGGTACAGACAGACATACCCCCGAGTTGGGGTGCCCATTAGCAAATCACACGGGCCTCTGCAGCTGTGTTTTGATTAGCAGAAAAGGGTTCTTTGGCATCAGAGAACTGAAATCACCTTTTAGGGTATGACAAGCTCAGCCGAGCATCTCACAAGTGAAAATCAGAGGTTTCTCTAAAGCAGGAATGAGAACAACCGGGAGGAATTAAAAGGAGAACAGCCATTAATGGTTTCAGCTGTGAGAGCTCAGACATCATGACATCCAGCAAACAGCACAGCAGGAAGTCCAGGCGCTCTTCCCACCAACATGGGACCCCCAGCATGCTTCTAGAAGAATGACAAGGAGAGCCTCAGGGACCACCCAAAGCCACCACCTGCCTAGGAAGGGCTCCAGCAGCGAGGCTGTGAGCAAGCAGAGGCCAAGGATGCTTGCAGGATGGAACTCAAGCATTCATTCATCCCCACAAGCTCCAATGACTTTGCACACCCTATGCAAATCATTATACAAATCACTCCAACTCCTCTTTGTACCTAAGCTCCTTTTAGATGTTATTTCCAGGCTCTATAGTGGACTTCCAAGCCCCTCCCCTACCTCAATCTTTCTACTCGCCAGAAGACTGAGTCTGAAGCCAGCTGTGACTCACACCTCACAAGGAATTCTTTGCAATGAAAAACAGCATTTTAATCCTGGCGTTGGTGGCACACGCCTTTAATCCCAGCACTCAGGAGGCAGAGGCAGAGGGATCTCTGTGAGTTCGAGGCCAGCCTGGTCCACAGAGTGAGTTCCAGGACAACCTCACAAAACAAAACAAAAAGTAAAAGGAAAAGGAAAAAGAAAAATAGCATTCTTGGAATTCTCTTAAGTTCTGCCCTAGGTGACACTCAATCAGGTACCCAAACAGATGTAAAAATACTACCTATGGGAAGCAGTAGAGCCAAGCAACACCTACAGGAGGGAACTCTGCCTTTGCTCTGGCCATGCCAGGTGCAGAGTGGCACAAAGCTTGGTGGTCCGAAAAGGCACCTTGAATTCCAGTGTATGCCGGTCCCTCTGATGGAGGATTCCTGACTTCTGTTTTTCTCTACCGGCATTCACTGAGGATTGGCTCTGTTCCAGGGGCTTATTCTTCACAGTTGATGTGGCGAGGAGACAGTTCATTCCTATTTGTACTCAGGGGAGCCAGAAATGGAAGAGAGCCTTTTCCCTGAAGAGGCGCCTGAGTCACTTCCCCCATGGTGCTCAAGCCACGCTAGGGCTGGTGATGAGCTGCCCGGGCAGGGACCAGACCCCAGAGAGCGGAGAGAACCACAAATGAGTGAGGCCAGCCAAGGTGGCAAAGTAGAGCTGATATAAAGTGAGCTAGACGGAAACCATGAGCAGCCTGTAAGGGGTTTGGGGGCAGCCTCCTTTATGCTCTATCTAAACTTACGTGTCGTCGTCATCATCATCATCATTGTCGTCGTCATTGTTTAGATTCCGTGATGCCAGAATCCCACACTTAGATTTTATCAAGTGTTCAGCTCACCTGGAAGACTTACTTGCTCAAGCTCCCAGAAAGGCTACTGTTGTAGCCTGGAAACCTGACTTTCTAGTAAGTTCCCAGGTGATCTACATGCCTTTAATCCCAGCACTCTGGAGGAAGAGGCAGGTGGATCTCTGAGCTCAAGACCAGCCTGGTCTATGGAGTGATTTCCAGGATAGCCAAGGCTACACAGAGAAACCCTGTCTTGAAGAACAAAACAAAACAAAAAAAATTGTCTAACCATTCAAACCAGACCTTCCTTGTGGGCCTCATAGAGTCAGCATCTCTGCAATCTACATTAACTCTGGAAACTTAACACATTACTCATCCATCCATCCATCCATTCATTCATTCAGCAAGTCTTTACCCAGAATCCACTCTGACTGTGGCAGCAGGAAACTCTGTGGTCTTATTCTCACAATGGGTTCACTTCTCAGCTCCTTCCCCAGCTTGCTGACTGGCTCGGCAGACCCCTGTCCTTCCTAGAAACCCAGTGCAAACAGTGGAGTGCAGTATGAGTTTGAAATGCTGGGGCTGCAAAGTCTCTTCGTGTATGTATGGGAAACATGGGCTCTGCACACAAGGATAATCTCGCTTAGGGTCACATGGTTTGTGGCTGGCAGAGCTGTATAGATGCTCTCTGAAACCTCAGAGACCTGGCCTCCTGCACTCGTCTTCTCCCTGATCTGTCTCTCTCCCCTGGTCCTCTGGTTACTGCACAGAATGAGGCTGTCTACTTGGAATGCGGGGAGCTCTAGAAAGTCAATACAGCCACCGCAAAGTTGCTGACGTCTTGGAACATTCTCATTTACTCTCCACAATATGATGACATTCTAGGGAGCAGCACTTTCAGTTGTGAGGCCCAGGCTGGGAACAGAAGCACTAGGAAGCCTGAGCCTATTATGCAAATGGAGCGCACCTCCTCCTTGGACTTTCTGGCTGTACCTCATGGAACATGTTCAGTAGGTGCATATAGCTAATGTCTTTGGAAGTTCAAAGGAGCCAGCCTTTCAAAATCCAAGCAACCATCATGCATCTCTCTTGAGCACGGTTCTTTCTGCCCTGAGGGGAGAGCCTTTAGGTATTCCTTTACTTGCCTCCACTTACGGCCATTCAAGGAGAACTGCATTCCGGAGCAGAGTTGATTCTTACACAGTCCTGACCTGGGGGAGTTCACACAGATGCAGCTGCCTCAATGCAGACTAGGACAGTAGGTGTCCTTATAGACCTGGTGGTATGGCTCTGACTTGCATACCCATCCATGCCCTGACCTATCTATGGCCTTTCTGTTGGCAGATAGGATGTGGTAACCAGATGCCCAGCTCTGGAACCATTGCCCACCGGGAGACCTTACACATCTTTCAGAGAATCCTCTGGGCTGAGAGGTGAGAGAACAGATTTTCAGGATCCCTGAAGAGAACAGCAAAGCCAAATCCACAAATGACCGAGGAGATTCCCCTCCCTGCTCCTACCACAGCTGCCCCTCCCCAGCACCAGATGATGGTGGCTCTGTGGGACTGTGCCCAGGACTCCTCCTTGTCTAGGAATTGCCCTGCAGGGTCATCCAGAGAGTCACCTGTAAGCTCACTGTAGCTTCTGGGCTGGGGTGGGACCTAGACCACACAGAGCAGAGACACCTTTCAGGGATGCAGGAAATTAAGATGAAAGGGACATCCAATACCTCTGAGTGAGGCGTGGATTATTCTATGTGGCCCATTTCCCTTCGGGAGTCGGGTAGTCACGTGTGGAAGAGAGCAGAGTGCAAAGACAAGCCTCGTCCTGTACCACCGCAGCCCCTCCCTCTCATGTGCTTTAAAGTGAGTATCAAAATATACTCTGGCTTTCTGCAGTGGAACATGACAAGCATACAGGAACCCTGAGATCATACCTACAGCCCTGGATTCAGGAACCCCAGGTACTTGAGAC